AAAAAAAAAAAAAAAAAGAACCGAATTATCAGGCTAGCCTAAAGGGGATGGTGGTGCAAATGACAAAAAGACATTTCTCACCCCTAAATCGTCTTTATAACGCTGCCTCACGAAACCAGACACCGGAATGGGTACTCTACACGAGTGAGCATGTTTAAGCAAAGAGTCCCCCCTGCCTCCCTGTGACATTAGGGTAGCATTCCCTGAGCACTGACAGTGCAGAACCTGCTTGGGATTCTCTCTCTCCCTCTCTCTCTGCCTCTCCTCTCCTCACACTCAGGTGCATGTGCTTGTGCTCTCCCTCTCTCTCAAAATAAATAAATTTTAAAAAGAGAATAAAATAGAATAGGACAGAAACTATCAAAGAACATCACTCATACTTAGGGGTAAGGGTCGTTTTATGCTATTCTGTTGCAAAACGTATTTCTTACTGGAAGTCATAGTTAAAAAAGTTTGACAGTTATCAGAGTAGATGACCTAAAGGCCATTTTGGGTGTGACATTTCAGCATTTTAATTTCCCCCCACTATGAGATGCCAGGGTTTACTTTGTAGCTGAACATGCTCTGTGTAGGACACAGACAGGAAAGTCTTACCTATGCCAAATGGCCACAGATCAATCCCACTTGTGTCTGGGATTTCTGGAAACAGTATAGTATGTAAAGAAAGGCATTAGCACAGAGCCTAGCATATACTAAGGGCCCAATATTAGTTAGTTATCACTGTCATCATTCAGATTCTAGTCATCCTCAATGTTAAATAACGACAAGTATTTTATCCCCACTAGTAAACAGAAAATGCTGAGGGAGTACCTTTTTAATTCTATGATTTACCTTAGGAGACTTGTCAGTATAGTGGGTGAAATCTTTGTCAGGTAGATCCTTCCGAGGCCTAAAAAATAAGAGTTTCCAAACATGACACAGAGACACGAACAACTTACTGGGACGACAGTCGGTGCTATGAGGAAAAGCCTTGTGCTCATCCACAGAACATCTCGGGGTTTAGTACTCACTGAGTGAACGTATGGTCTCCCCATTCCCTTAAGTTGTGCTTGCTTCTTTGTTCTGGAACAGCTCCCAGACACTGTACACTGCAAACACTTCACAACTGTTTGTTGCATCAAACTGAATTCAGAGCCTATGCCTCCCTCTTTCCAGCCACAGAGAGCTATGTCGCCATCAATAAAAGTTGACTGAGTACCCTTGATGTAAACATTCAAAGCATATTAAATAAGCAAAATGTGGTATTTCTGTACGATGCAATGTTTTTCAGCCTCAATGAGGAATGCAATTCTGACACACGCTCCAACACAGATGAATCTTGAAGCCATTATGCTAAGTGAAATAAATTAGATGCAAAAGGACAAAAATCGTATGATTCCACTTATATAAGGTAGCTAGAGTAGGCGAATTCATACAGACAGAAAGTAGAATAGACATTAACAGGAGCTAGAGGGAGGAGGGAGTGGGAAGTTGCTGTTTAATGGGTATGGAGTTCACGTTTGAGATGATAAAAAAATTTCTATACATCATCAGGGAAATACAAATCAAAACCACAATGAGATACCACCTTACACCTGTCAGAATGCCTAACATTAACAATTCAAGCAACAACAGATGTTGGCGAGGATGTGGAGAAAGAGAATCTCTTTTGCATTGCTGGTGGAAATGCAAACTGGAGCAGCCACTCTGGAAAACAGTATGGAGGTTCCTCAAAAACCTAAAAACAGAACTACCCTTCAACCCAGCAATTGCACTACTAGTCATTTATCCACGGGATAGAGGTGTGCTGTTTCGAAGGGACACATGCACCCC